GAGAGAGAGAATCATCAACGTGTGGTTGCTTCTTGCTAACCCCCTACTGGGGACCTGGCCCACAACCCAGGCATGTGCCCTGACTGGGAATCAAACCTTCGACCCTTTGGTTCACAGGCTGGTGCTCAATCCACTGAGCCACACCAGCTTAAAAAGTGGGCTCAAAAGTGGGTATTTTAAAGTAATTGGACTGTTTCTCATTTCCTTTGTGCTTAAGTGCCTGTGTATTCTGATATTTGTGTTTTTGTTCTTATGTTTTCCTTCTTGTTTTTTGTTCTGTACATGAGGCACATGTCACTTTTGCAATTTGGGGAGGGAAAATGTGGTGATTGCAAAGAAAGAGGGCCTGGTAAATAGTATGAAACACTGCATAGAGGCCAAATAATACTGAGTAATAGAGAGGAAGTAGTCAGCAGAGAGCCTCGGTGACTCGGCCGTGCTGTAGTGGATGTGCTAGAAGGGAAATGGCAGTGGGTCATGAGGAAAGAAGGCAAGGGAATCAAAGCAGGCCATTTGTTCCAGAGGAAGGACCACAAAGAGAAGTTGAAAAATAGAACAGTAGGGAGTGGGAGATGTAACATCAGCCCAAACTATAGCAAAGACCAGAGAGCCTGGGCGAGGTTGATGCCGATGGAAAAGGGGCCAGGGAAAAGAGAGGTGCTGATGTAAGAGAGAGGTGCACAATTGAGGAGCAAGGTGCCTGTGGGGACGTGGGCTTGGGTGCAGTGAACACAACAATGGGTTGGCCAAGGCAAAAGCCAAAGCCATCTTCTAAAATGAGAGGCACGGTCGGCACAGAGTTCAGACACGAAACATTTGGAAGTGATAAAATCTGCACCTGGTCTTCATGTCGTCAGTAGGAGGTGAGGCCAATGCACTGAAAGAGAGTGTCTGGGCGGCAGGGCAGGAGTTTGCCCGGAAGGGGAAATGGTGAGGAAACTGGACAGGCCCGATGCCTTGCCTGCGAGGGCATTCTCCCGGGAAAGTGGCCTCTCCTTTACCCACTTTAAAGTAAACTTTCTGCAGGGCCAGCACTACCTATGCAGCCAAGGCAAGGGGACAGTTATCTGCAACACTCAGGTGGTACAGGGCTGTTGGAAGGGCCTAAAAAGCCCCATCAGATAATAGTATGTATGGCTTCACACACCTGGCAGGATCATCCATGCCTGTACATCTCTAAGGGGAACTTGGGGGCTCAGCATGACAGTCTGGGATGACTCTGCGCTACTTCCTGCTTTAGGTAATGGTCTCTGAAGAGGTCCTTGCCATTGGGTTTGAAGAAGTCAATCTGGTCTCCAGGTGTTGGGAGCTGTCCAGAATACAGAAAAGAGACATGTCGTGCTGCAGCTGGAGCCTCATTTTTTAAATTTTTTTAAAGATTTTGTTTATTTATTTTTAGAGAAAGGGGAAGGGGGAGAAAGAGAGGGAGAGAAACAGCAATGTGTGATTGCCTCTCATGCACCCCCTCCTCTGTCCTTGGCTCGCAACCCAGGCATGTGCCCTGACTGGGAATTGAACCGGCGACCCTTTGCTTCACAGGCCCGTGCTTAATCCACCAAGCCACACCAGCCAGGGCTGGAGCCTTGCTTTGTCCTAGCTCTGACTGCCCATCTCTCCCAGATACCCCCTCCCACCCCCAGGAAACACCGATACAAGATTACTGTGGCATATGGTTTTACCAGACCATGGAATTTTTAGATGCTCTGTTAAAATGAATAGTTTCTCAACTAGGAGCAATTTTGCCTCCCTGCCCAGGGGAGATTTGGCGATTTTTGCTAAACATCCTACAGTGCACAGGACACTCCTCACAGTGAAGAATGATCTAGCCCTAGATGTCAATAGGGCTGAGGGTGAGAGACCCTGCTTTAAAGAACTCCTTACCTGCAAGGACCTTTTCTATTATTTTAAAAATCTTCACCCCAGGATATGTTTCTTAATTTTGAGACAGAGACAGAGGGGAGAGAGAGAGAGAGAGAGAGAGAGAGAGAGAGAGAGAGAGAGAGACTGATTGGTTGCCTCCCATATGCGCCCTGACCAGGAATTGAACCCACAACTTATTGGTGCAGGGGAGACCCCCCCAGCAACTGAGCCACCCGCCCAGGGCTGTAAGGGCCTTTTAGAGTCTGACTAAAGTCCATATAAGGGTCATTTATAATTTGAGGTTAATGTCTAAAACAAGTCAAAGAATATACCAGACAACAGAGTGACAAATGGTAGGATTTACAAATTTCCACAGGATGGCACTAAAACACATGAAAATCCAAACTTCTCCAGCCTCCATTTCAGAATCGTTTATCACTCACCCTGTGCAGCTCTCCAGGGTAACAAATGCCCTTCCTTTTCAAACAGGATTGTCACTTCTTTGTGCTTAGTGTTCCCCACCAGAAGTATTTTCATGCAAATGGATTGAAAGAATTAATGGCTAACACTTAGCCTGGAAGATAAAAAGAACGGGACCACCTTCTCAGTCAGCTACAGAATTTCTACTACGTGTAGCAACAAGGATGCGGAAGAATCTGCTAGCTTCTTGCCTTCTTCTATAGTTAGCATTTAGCTGGGAGCCTGGCCAGCGGACACTCCCAAGACTGCACTACCCTTAGGGTGGTCCAGTGATGAAGCTCTGGCCATGAGTGGGATCTAAGCAGAAGTGCTGTTGGAGACTTCTGGGTAATACTCTTAAAGTAGTAGTTCTCAGCTCAGGGTGACTTTGCCTCTAAGGGCATTTGGCATCCTCTGGGACATTTTTAATTGTCACAACTGAGGGATGCTACTAGCATCTAGTGGGTAGAGCCCAGGGATGCTGCTAATCATCCTACAATGCACAACAGAGCCCCCAAACACAGAATTATCCTGGTTCTAATGTAAACTGTGCCAAGGTGGAGAAATGCTGCCTTAGCATATTAGAGGGACGGGGCGTGCAAGGGCTTCCCATACCTCTCTTCCCACTGGCTGGAAGGAAGGTACAGTGGTGTGCCATCTTCGGCCATGTGGGCCAAGGCAACAAACCAGGGAGCATGATGCTACAAAATAGGTGGAATCTGAGTCCATGGCCCAGTGGATCTACCTTACTTCTGCAGACGCCTTCCACCCAGAGAGACAGAATGCATACACACACTCATGGTACAGTAGCATACAGACTCATAGGACTGCAGTAACTGCTCTCCCTGAAACATATTTACTCTAGCCTGCTCGTTCTGCCTCTCCCAGGAGCCCTTCAGCATTTTCTCCCTCCTATCTTGCCCCTCTTCTTCTCACTTTCCTTCCTCCTCTGATGCAGCTTCTTGCTTAAGGCAGATATTTCAACAGGCCCTGGTTGATTTATCAGCTTCATTCTATACCTGACTTTTCCCAGAAGACACTGCACTCCTATCATTCCCTATCCCCATTCTATTCATAGATATTTCCTTCTCCCCCCATCCATTTTAGAGAGGGGAAAGGAGGGAGAAAGAGGAGAGAAACATCAATGTGTGGTTGCCTTTGAAGCACCCCCAAATGGGGACCTGACCCACAACTCAGGCATGGGGCCTGACCAGGAATCCAACTTGGCAACCCTTTGGTTCACAGTCTGGAGCCCAAACCACTGAACCACACCAGCCAGGGCCCATTTTTTTAAACAGTAGAGGAAGAACATCGTCTAAAAAAAAAGAAATTCTCAATATACACTTTCTGGCCATTACTCTAAAAGATTTTCTTCATATAACTTACCATGGTGTACAATTATATTCTGTGTATTGTCTATGCTCTCCTGAAGAATGTTAATTTTATGAGGTCAAAAAATGTCTTGTTCACCACTGCATATCTGGTAAATAAAATAACCCCGGCCAATAGGCATACATAAACATATAATGCATGCCACATATATAATTGTAAATGTTCTACGAGGTCTGTTAAAGTAAGAAGATAGAAGTAGATTTAATTTATATGTTGCCTAAGTAGTTCTTCCCTAACATGTTCTCACTATTAAAAAATGAGATTTTTATCATCTTTTTCTCAAACTACTTCTTCAAAATCCACTGCGTATCTTACTGTTACTGCAAATCTCAATTCAGCTACATTTTGAGTTGTGAACAGCCACGTGTGTTGAATGGCCGCAATGGACAGTACAGGCAAAGAATAATTCATGAACACAGTAGGCATCCAGTACATTTTGTTAACGGTAATATTCTTCTGTGCTGTTTGACTCTCCTGTAGTGCAAAAAGAGCATGGTACTTATGTCCATGACATTAATTACCCTGACTTACCCATCTCCTCTTGTTTCCAGTTTCCACTTATTAAAAGAATTCTGCAATGAACATCCAGTTTGCACCTGTTTTTCCTTGGAATAATTTCCCCAAAGCGAAAATTCTAGGACTAAAGTACACCCCCTTTTAAGGTTCTTGCCATAGTTTGCCAAGATACCCCAGAAAAATGTGCTACTTAGACTTCGAGTGGTTTATACTTGGTGATTAGTGAATCCTCTGAGACACTAACAGGGAAAGTATTGCTGGCAATGATTGTGACGATAAAAATGTTAGTGGGCACTATTTGTTTGCTCTAACGCACTGGGCATTGTGCGCTAGGTATTATTCACATCTTATTATTCACGAGCTGAGTCTGGTGGAAGTTAATAACTAAGCCTAGAGTCGCGCTCAAACTTACATCTGGGTAGCTATTTCCAAAGCCTGGCCGTTTCCCTGAGCCACGACCACTCTCCCTTGAGAGCAGAGCGAAATGTCAAAAGCCAAGGAACTATTCCAGGGACCTGGGCCGTGCAGAGTTAACCCACTGGCACAGATACGGCTGCCCCACGCGGGCGCTGGTCTGGGTCCAAACTCTAGTGCTGCAAGTAAGTCCTCTGCACCCAGCACCTGCCACCAGTGGTTCCCACTCTCAGCTGAAGAGGCGGACTCTCAGCCAGCGCCCGCCCAACAACGCAATGCAAAACGCGCCACGGTCGTGTCGTCACCCAGGGCCCGGGCGGGTCTTCCGGCGCGCAGTGGCGACCTAAACCAATCGGAAGTTCACTGCTAGTCGCCCAGGCAACAGCTACTCCCATTCTCGACCCACAGGAAACAGGTCCCTGCTGTCCCACCGCCCAGGATCTGCAAGCCACGCGCGCACGAGGTGACTCTGGGGACTGCTGGGTTTTCTTTGGGAAGTGAAGGTGGAGCCTGGAGGCCCCGAGAGCCGAGAGCTTGCCTGTCACATTGTCATAGTAATTATCATCCCGCGGTTATTTGTGAGAAGGGACGGGTTCCAGAAGCTCTCAGCTCTGATGTGCATGAGAATCACTATATGACTTTTAAAACTGTGATGCCCTGGATGCCCTGGCCTCCGTCCCAGATGAATTAAATTCATATCCCCAAAAGTAGGTCCCAGGCATCGGTATTTTTATTAAAGCCCTCCCCCACCAATGTGATTCAGAAGGGCCAGTAACATTGTGTTAAGCTAGGGCAGCCTCATGCGTGGAGGGATGTCTAGAATATCGGTTCTTCCACTCAAAAGCTGGTGTTTTCTTTGCCCTCGCACTTTACTCTCTGTGGGAAGTCAGGGGTTTGGGTGGAAGTTGTCAGGAGAACATTTGCACCTGTGGTCTTTTATGTGCCTTGCCTGTGAAAGTGGAGAATGACTTTGCCCTTTTTTCTTCCTCAGTATTTGAATTGAACCAGCAGCCAAGGAAGTACTTTTTAGGTTTGAAATCCCGAGTCCTTTATTACAGGCTAGTTGGTTCTGAACAATCTTTTTTTCAGGAATGATTTTTAAAGTTGTTTCACAGCTAGGTTCTGTATTCAGCCACCTTGCGCCTGAATTCAGAACATTACTCGAAAGTCCAGACTAAAGATTAGTAACACAAGTAAGAGTTCTGGCATTATTTACTCTCAAAATACAATTTCTAACTATATAGTTTATAAAAGTAGCAGTCTCTGCAGTGGCAATGAGAACAGAAAACTCTTTTGAAAGATTAGTAGGAACTTGACATAGGCAGAACTGAAGCAAGTTCACTGTGAGGTGTACAAATCCCCTACGTATGCTCATGGCCCTGCTGGGAAAGTATATAAACTAAAGGTCCAGAGAGACTTTCATTCAAAAACTGTTCGACAGATGGGGAAGGCTTTGTGGTTTTTAGGATCCACCATTGAAGGATGGGGCGAGATGAGAGGGTTAGGGCTTAGTGACCAAGTAGGCTGGAGCAGAGGTCGGAGAGGCCAAATTCGCCGCAGAAACCCAGGAATGACTGCTCTACATCTGCAAAGCCAGCTACTGAACAGTGACAAACGTGAACAAGTGAAGAAAGTAGAGCTGGTGTTGATCAGATGAACTGAAAATATCTTTGAAGACATTAATGCATTCAAATGTCTTCTTTCTGAAAAGATTTGGAGCTTTATAACATTGGAGTGACTAGCTATTCAGTGACTTTAGGAAGGGTAAGGATAGGAGGAGAGAGTGTTATTGGGAAACAGCAATCCAAACAACGTCCAAGATCTGGTAATACTAGCTATGATTTTTTTAAACTGGAAGGAAAATAGGAAATTTTAAAGAAATAGATAGCAGAATCCATGCCTACAGCTAATTGATTAAACACCCCAATGAGTGGGGCATAATGAATGCTGTGTGCGTTCAGAAAAGGGATTAACATGCAGTTACCATGTATGTGTTCATAGAAGTAAAACTTGAAATAAGGCTCCTAGAATCTACTGGTGGTCTTAACCACGTTAAACTAGTCGTGGGTTTTGCTGGTAGGCCCTTAACTTGTATTACCTGATTGTTCAACCCCTATTCCTTTATGCTCACATGAGGTTTTACCATATGAAGGATAAACTTGCAGTGAAGAGATCTTATCTGTTTCCTTTTATGAGTTGTATTATGTTTATGTCCTCAGTGGCCTCAGTTTTCTGCTCTCGCATTGCCTGTTGGGTTCATGAATCAGAGGGTAACTTTGCTTTGGGATGTCCTCATATTTCACTTCTGATTCTGATGTTAGTCACATAGGGAATTGGTGAACTTGCAAATGAATCCATTCACAAAGCTAGCACTCTTGAGGACCAATTAAACAATGCCATTCTGTGGCAGAATGTTATGTTTGTTAAAAAAGAAGAATTAACTACATCCTTTCTGTCTTTCTCCTTCCCTGGGCTGTGCCTTTGTTGTGACAGTACTTATTCTAACACCCAGAAGAGAGTAAACTGGGGTTTGGGTTTGAGGGAAGAGGAAATAAAACTCCATTTGGGGGCTCCCTTGCCCACCAGTTTTAACGGTAGCTGTTAGAGACAGAAAGATGTGGGCTTACTGAACACAGAAGCCCGTGCACTCGTGGGAGGTCTGTGTCTGAAAGATGGAGCTTGGACTGCTGCTGAGAACGGAAAACTGTTCTGACTGCAGCCATTTTTGATGCCCCTGTGCAGGGACCATGCACAGCCACAGGAGAGAGCCCGTCAAGGCATCAGGCCAGATGAACTGGCCAACCCTGTCACACGCGGCCAGGGGTGGGAGCAGGAAACGGTGCTCTCAAAAAGCCTCATTTTATTATTTTTCTTAGTTGAGGAAGTTCCTACTATTATTGCATGTGCTGTTAAAAGACATCCATTCCGATACGGTTATTACTGTATATAAGAGATTCCTTAGAACTGTGTGACTCAATTCATGTAACTCAGGTTTCTTACTGTACTTTCATATATTTTGAGTGACCTCCAGCAGAAATTCCCGCCTTCCCTCTGTCTTGAAACCGTGTACTGGTGGTAGGCCTGATTAGGTCCCTGAAATTATCTGGTTGGCTCAGGAAACCAAATCAGGGGGAGCCTAACAGGAACCCTCCAAGTTTCAGGGCTTTAACCAGCATAACTTATTTCATGACTGACTTTCCATGTTGTTTCTTTGCAAAAATCAAAGCAGGTGACTTCTCATATATTTAATTTTCAGAATTCTAGTGGAAAAGGAGGCTAGAGAGGAAAATGCGGTTATAGATTTATCGTTTTCAGGAGTATTTGTGGTTTCATTTATCTGGTTGCTGTCACACACCCTAGATCCTATATTTATAAATATGCAATGAAAAGATATACAGTGCCACTGCTTTTCAACAAAGCCACATTACTTATTTGTGGATTTTTTTTAATGGATGAAAATAGCCACAGTGTATCCATTGAAAACTACAAAGCTTTTGTCTGTACGTTATTCATGTACACTTATACATGTAAAAATGTATCTTCCAGGATACCAGATTCAATGAAGAATAAGTACATTTTCTCAGAAAGGCTTTCTGGGAAAATACATTGTTGACGACTCAGGGCCGTGTCTTGCCTGTGGGCCTCGGCAGTGTTCAGTGAACGACCTCAATGCTGTTTTTATTCCTTCCTTTTCTGCTGGTTGAGGACAGACAATGAATTCAGTCTCTGTACTTGCCGGGGCTCAGCTGGGCAGTGACTATTCTGCCATTGTACTCACTGGGAAGGGCTGCCCGGTTGGTAGTGCTGTGGATCCGGGTCTGCCCTGACATTGCCAATCTCTTTTCTTTCAGCTGTGCCGTCCCATTAGAAAAGAAAGTGGCTGTTCAGTCCCCAAAGTACACCATGATAGAGTAGGAGACACTCCCAGGGAGGTGGGGAATGAAAGATAAAAGTAAAGACCAGTGAGAAGGCCTCAGACTTTTGCTGCAACCAGAAGCGTTCTTTCCTTTGCAATGGTAACAGTATCTGATGGTGGTGTTGCTCTAATGTCTAGAATTATTCTAATGTTGCCCTTTCAGAAACCCAGGTGTCTTATTAAATCTTTAAACATTGTATCTGGAAAGAGTAACAAGCTTTAACAAGTTAACAGGACCCTTCCCTTGGGAGCTGATGTAGCCAGCAGGGAAGAATATGGATTCCTTGTTCTAGTGATTAGACACTGGAAATTCCCGTTTCTCCTTGTTGGGTCACTGCCTTGCGCACAGCAGCTGGTAGAGTGTCTGTCAGAAATCATGGCACTGCGGATGTATTCTAACATACACCTGTTGATTGATACTCTTTTGTGGGAGTTGGAGGTCTTTCTTTGTTTTCCTTAAGTCTCTAAATGTCTGTGTAGGTCTTTAAGAAATAGTTCAATTTGCTTATGTAGTCCTGGAGATGATTCCTTTGTCCCAAGTAGTAGGAATTGGTCACTGAGATTGTTGACTATAATCCCTGTTCTCTTGCTTCCACCCATCCTATTCTGAGTCTAAGTGGGAGAACCTGAACTTGCCCAGTGATTTCCAAGTGGAAGGTAAGGAACAATTAGAAGGTTCAGCATTTGATAGCAAACGTTCTAGCATCCTAAACAGTGCACAAAGCATTACAGTTGAGGACAGAGTTGCTTGTATTCCACCGTTAATATAAATCCATCTTTTCTTAATGTCCTGGGTCTTAAAAGAGTCTAGCACTTTAACTGATTAATTGGTACCCTTTATAAATAGTCAGTACACTGGCCCAAATCAGAGCTGCTTCTGCCTCAGATGCTGGAATTGGCTTTCTTCGAACATCTCAGCTCATGGTCCTGGCATCTTTCTTGCAAAAATGTTCAGTGTGATCTGTAAGGCAGTGTAACATGGCAGCCCTTTTATCAAATTACTGGCTGAGTTAAAGGCATAAATAAGTAATTTCTCCTCAAATTAGCACTCCCTCCATTTTTTTAATCACAGCCATAGACAGTGAGCAGCCTGGCGCATAGGATAGATTACACTTGAACTTCTTAAACCCTTGCCTACTTTATTGCATCTTCCTACAAAGTGGACCTCTCAGATGCTGAATCATGCATTTGCAGAATTTGGTACTCCAGCTTTTAAAGCCAGGATGGATTGTCCCAATTATAAATAAAAACAGGGTTTTCTGAGGTCTGCAATAGTGTTCAATGACAATAATGTTTATTAACATTTGAGGCTGTCACACCTCCCCATTTGGGACCATTAATATTCATATTAATCAGGTTCTAAGTACACTTTGTAGGGCATAGGAGCCTAAATTCAAAACTCTTAATCTCCACAAGACTTGCAGATGTCTCCTTGACTTTTCTAATCTAATTTCTATGCTCCTTGTTAATCTTCTAAAACAAATTTGATTAAGACACACATGGAGTTCCCTTTAATGTCATTATGTACTGCAGGCTGGCAGCGATTCAGATTCCAGTGCTGGATGAAAACTGGCTGGAGTGACTTCGCCACTTAAAGGCTGCACCTTACGGTTTGGCACTCGAGTGTGCACTGATTTCTACCATAATTTCATTCTGCATTAGTCTTCTTTCTCTGGGTGGTTAGCCCCTGAATCGCATTGCATTTTATATTCCCTCAATAACCTGTGCAGCACACAGCAGTTAGCTGGGTTTTCAGATAACGGCTCATGCTTTAAACCTTTAAATTATAGTTTAAAAGTAATGTGAACTCAGTTTGCACTTACATTTTCACTGCATCGGTTCACTTTTTTCCAGTTTACATTCACTGCATGTGCGTGAGTTTCTGAATTTAGAACAGTGAACAGGAACTGTGGGCTATGTGTGAGGTAAAATTACAGAAGGTCGTGTCAGCCCTCTTGGAAATACCCTATTTGAGAAGGGTTTTTTTAATATTTCAAAAGAAGGCAAAGGGTTCTTTTTTAAGGTTAAATCTTAAAACAAGTCATTTCACGTCACAATTTGCAACAGTACCCATAGCAAAATCTCTGATCGAGATGATGAAATAAGTCAAGTTTATTTCTTAAGACTTGGAGATTTTTAAATGTTATCCTGTTATTAAGAGAAGTTAGGAAAATAGCACTCCTTCATATCTGATTTCTCAAGTTTCAGATGCTAAGTAACTGCTTGGCAACCTGTTGTGCTAGTGATTTTGTCTTACAGGCACTTCAATTCTCATGCATTTTAGACTTATTATTTTTGTTACTTTATTTTATTTTATTATTATTGAACTTTTTAAGGTACATTTTGGTGGAGACTGTTATTCTAGTAGCTATGAACTCCTGAACAGGAAGAAAAAATATTCAAAGCCTGTTTTAAATAGGTTGTAAAAGGTACAGCCTGAACTTGACCTTTAGGTATTTCCTGTCCTATCAGTAAATCACAGGCAGGTAGGCAGTGAGGGGAGGGGCAACCCTGGCAGAGCAAGGCTTCTGGGCAAAGGCCCTCTGCACCTGAGGCCTGGTGCAGAGTCTCCATGGAAGGGCTTCTCCTCCATGGAAGGGCTTCTTCACAGGGGCAAAGTGGTCAGACAGGAACACACTGGCTGAGAGGTGCTTATCGCAATCTGAACCAAAATAAAGCCCACTGAGGGGGCTTCAAGCTCAGGGCACAACCCAAGCTGGAGAGATGTCTTGCAGGGGTGTCCAACCCGTGGCCCACGGGCCACATGCAGCCCAGGATGTCTATGAACGAGGCTCAACACAAAATTGTAAATTTACTTAAAACACGATGAGATTTTTGGGTGATGACGTGTCACAATATATTTCCTGTGTGGCCCAAGACAACTCTTCTTCTTTCAGTGTGGCCCAGAGACGCCAAAAGGTTGGACACCCCTGTTAGAGTCTTCTCCAAATCCCAGTCTGAGGGCAAGACCTAACAAAGGTTTCCAGGGAGTTGGCAAGATGTAGTCTATTCCGGCCTCAGGGACATGCAAATGCAATTTAAATTTGAGTTAAGGATTGGTAAATAAATTAATATAGCTGTCCATTTTTAGTTCATGTTCTGCGTATTCTTTTTTGTATACATACTAATTACTATTTACATGTACACCTGAAACCAATACAAAGTAATATTGAAAGTAAACTGTAATTGAAAAACAAAACAGACAAACCAGGACTTGAAAAAAACCAGGTCTTTTGAGCCTGAGGGGATCCCTCCTTTTCAGAACACAAGGCCATGTCCATGTGCCAGGCTCCGTAGGGGGTGAGTTGTGTGAAGGTCGGGCACTGTCCTGGGAAGAGGTGCCCTCTGAGGAGCCGCTCGACAAACTACAAATGACCCACAAATGTCACACACCTACCTGTGCTGACCAGCCGTTTGCCCTGTGGTTGTTCTTTCCTAGTTTCGGTGCCGCTTTGGATTTTCGCAATCAGAGATGGGATCAGAGGTAAGATTTTTTTTTTAACTTATAAGAGAAAAAGGTTAATTTAGTCCTCAAAATCCTAGAGTCCTCATTGCATGACTGAGAACAACAAAGAAATACATCGGAAATGACAGGTAAAAGCACCACGGGGTGTATCGCCAGCATCTTTTGTCCCGGGCACTGAGATGTAGGCTGGGCCGGCAGGCATCTGGGGGGCAGATGGGGGAGAAGAAAACATGGCATTCATTCATCCATGTGGTTCTTGGCTTTCTCACTTGGAACTAGTTGCTTAACTACAGTGGATAGAAAGGGCCAAGGGGATAGATGTCCAGTCCTTACCTCTCCTCACATCCTTTCTAAAAATGATCATTATTAGCCCCTGTCCCGCTTTTTAACAGCCCTAGCCTTAAGCTAATTGTCCTGTGTGTACCTCATGTACACAGACTTCAGAGCAAGTGTATGTACACGCAGTGTCTGGTGAGCACGGACCTATCATGTCCTCTTTTATCATACCCACTTTTATCTCTTGAGGATGACCTGTGGTATCTAGCCTACACCTCCCTTGACTTTGTAGGCGGCGCCATCGGGAACTGGGAAGCCTTGGTCTTATCATCCGACATATGCAAGATACTGGCGTCATTATTATCAAGCAATGGCTTGGATGCGCAGCCACCAGATGGCCTACTGGAAGGCCGTGGAACCCTACTTCAGGTCCCCATGGTACTTTACTCCCAAAGGTCATCCCCGGGGCCATTATGCTGAGGTGGGCAGATCTCCCTGGTCCTGGGGCCATTACTGGGCTTCCCGGAACTCCGGCGGCAGGTATGCACATTCCCTGTGGCCTGAGCAGCACCGTCCTGACAGCACGAGAGAAGTCCAGACTTGGGGTGTGGAGGAGGAAGAGGAGGAGACCGACTCAGATGAGGGGGTGGAGTGCGACCTGAGCAACATGGAGATCACCGAGGAGCTCCGCCAGTTCTTTGCAGAGACCGAGAGGCACAGGGAAGAGCGGCGTAAGTGCATGCTTCCTCTTCTTGCCCTGCATTCTGCATTTTTCTCTTCTCTTAGGCTGTGTCAAGTTGTTTTCTTACTCCTTGACTGAGCACAGATAATATTCCATAGCCAATCCTAACCTTGGAAAAGCTATGCTGATGTTGCTCCTCAATTATATTAGATTCCAGAGCTATTTTAATATAAGGCTTCTTCTTTTTTTTTAGCTCTAGAACAAAGCTCAACCTGATAGTGTCTCACATTTATTGAATGTTAGAGACTCCACCAGACAGTGTGCATGCGTGCATGTGTATGGGTGTACATGTGTGCATACACGAATGCATGCATGTGAGTATGTACATGTGTGCACATATGTGTTTCCTACTCTACACAACTGTCCTTCAAGGTATTAAACCCACTTTGCCCATGAGGAAGGTGAGCCTTCAGAAGGTCGACTGACTTGTTCCATAGTGCATGACCAGTCATTTGCCGTTAGGATTCCAACCACCATCTGCCCAACTCTAGTTCCTGTGCTCCTTCTTCATGCACAAATGTAGGGATTAGCTTCTGTCCCTATGACAACTAGGTTCCTAAAACACTGTTGCCAACTCACAGGCACAGCTATGAGCCATCCCTGGTACTCCAGAGCTGCCAGATCTTAAATGGTAAGCTCTCTCCTCTCAGAGCAGAGATTGCCACGAACCTAAACAGAATAACAAAATGCCTAGTGTGGGGGCAGCTTTGCCCGCAAGTCCCCCTGTCCACCATGGATGATAATAAACACTACCAAGACATGATCTGCTTGGGGAGGAGAGGTGGCCAGTTTCTCCGAAGAAAAAAGGCCTGGAGCAGTGGCCAGTTTCTCAGAGGAAAAACGCCTCAAGCCCCTTCCTTGAAGGGCTTTTGTTGGGTTGTAATACACAGGAATACAGAGCGGCAAGGATCAAACGGTAGATAACATTTCAAAGAAATCTGAGGGCTTAGTCTGAGTCAGAGTCTGTCAGGAAGGGAGTTTGCAGAAACTTAGGGTTTCCTGCTTGGACCCTTATCATATGAATGAAAGCACTCTTAGCAGAGCAGGTTTTACTGTTGTTGTTTTTTTAAGGAATTCTTTGTGATGCCAGATTTTTCCCTAGATCAGCTCTAGCCAGGCAAGGAGCTGCACCCCTCCCCATCAGGTTTTCAGGTTTAAGTGAATTAGAGCCAGGAAGTGCTTCTCCCAGAGGACATGGGGACTCAGGCTTTGTCACATAGCTGGGGGAGGAGGGTCCATTGCTCCCTCTTTGTTGCAGCCCCCTGAGTCCTTCCATGAAGGCCTCCCAAGTGATCTAGTCTGGCTTAGGTTGTCCCTCACTGTGAGGAGTCTTACCTGTCATTGACTTCCAACCAAGCATTGGGGGCAGGGAGGAAACTGAGGCAGCATTTGCTACCAGAGACAAGCATTGTGTCCTGTGGCTTACATTCTGGAGGTCACTCGCCCATCCTTAGCCATGGAGGGTAGTTACAATTCCTGAAACCAGGCAGAGCGGCCCACAGCAGCCTAGTACTCAAACTTTCTGATTCAATCCTGCATTGCGATGATCTTCCTGGGACTGGAGACTTGTGAGAATGGTCTTATATCTTCAGTCAGAGAGCAAGAATGTCTTTTTTTTTTTTATTTCTTACTCGAAGAGTTAGAACTGCTTTTGGTGCTCTCCTTACTATTAAGATTATCAGACCATTTACAGTTTAAGTGTCTGTAACAGATCAGATATACACATATCTGTTATTTTCTATCTATTATAACCACTACTCAGTCTCAATATTGTTCGTATTGAGTTCTAATGACATGACAGTTTACCTATAATTGTTAGTAAACAGAAACGTACAAGCCTCGGAGGAGTTGCAGTTCTGTTTTCAACGATCCATGTTTTCGTAAGGACAGCAAGTTTTTCACAGAGGCCACAAGGTACCCTTTGGTGTCTTTGCCTGTCATTTTCTTTCAACTTCCCTTCTTTTGATTAATTAAACTGTTGACTTCTTTGATGTGCATTAGAAAGTACACCCAAACAAGTACTTTTGAAACAGTACTTTGTATTACACATAGAATACATTTCTCTCCTGGATCTCCAGAGATGAAGTCAAGCTTTTTTCAAAATACATACAAAATAAGTATTAGTCTGGCGCATGAGCGAGAGTAGCCATTGGCCCATGTGCACATTTGGTTGGAGTGTTGTTTGTTCCTTTAAAAAAGAAAATATGGTGGCGATAGGGCTTATTTCTGTTGTGCTTACCAGAAACTGTTCCCGCAACTGGTAAAGAGACTGATACTTTTATAATAAAAGTTGTAATTAAGGATAGGAGCAAACCCCGGTCCTCAAAAAGGCCATTTTCAAATACGTGCTGATTTCAAATAAACCTGATATAGCTAGTTATTCAATAAAGATAGACATGAATGAAATGAACATCAAATAATGAAAAGTGTTCTTCCAGGGCGAGCGATGCAGTCACAGATGCGGGGAAGAACATCTGTTTAAGCGCTAGGCATTTCATTGCTCTGTTGAGGTGCGCACTGATCTGTTCCTCCCTCTTGCCTTTGTCAGAATCCAGTAGATTTTAAAAAATCATGAAAATGATCTCCTACTGTATGCCTGGCACTTAATATTATTTTGAAGAATGCACGAAGTATTTTGTTATTAATTATGAGCTTTAAATCAGAGGTTTTCTAATCTTATCCCACAAAGTAGTGAGCTTGCTGTGGTTCTGTGAGACAGTTTACCAAGTAAGTTAGGGTTGAAACACTTTATAAAGTTGAGGAACTTCAAATTTTGTTGGATAATGTTCCTCAATCTTCTTCATTGACTTCAAGGCTCCAAATGGCACTGCTACCATCACTATTACAGCTTGACTTGTGTCCCTTAAAAAATATGTGTTGGAGTCCTAACCCCCACCCTCCAGGCCTCGGGATGTGACCTTATTTGGAGATGGGGTCTTTATAGAGGTAATCAAGTTAAAATGAGGTCATTAGGGTGGCTCCTAATCCAGTGGGACTGGTGTCCATAAAGAGGGACATTTGGACACAGACACGCCCAGGGAGAATGCCAGCGTGAAGACTGGAGTTCTGCTGCCACAAGCCAAGGAAGGACCCGAAACTAGGAGAGAGGTGGGAATAGACCCTTTCCCCGCACCTCCCCTGCCTGGGGCGGCCCTGTCCACCCTTGATCTCAGACTTCCGGCCTCCAGAACTGTGAGCCCATCCATTGCCATTGCTCTAAGCCGCCCAGTTTTGGGTGTTCTGCCACGGTGACCCTGAGAAACTAATACAGTCCCCCTGAGGGAGTTGTCTTTGTGAGTGGGATGGAAAGTGTACTGAAAACGTGTTATCACCTCTGTGAGAAAAATGTAGTGTGTGTTTGTTTCACTGTGATCTAGAAAGCAAAACAACAGAAAGGGGAATTTTGTGAAAACTATTACAATCTGCATCCTTAACCTCACTCCCAGTGCAGCTGCGGCGGAACTTCTCAAATCATGGGCTCCCCCACTTCTGAGCCAGAGGTTCTTAACCCTCTCGTGGGCCCCCTGCCCTAACCATACTGAGCCTCAACCCCCTCACCTGTGAAGTGGGGATTCTAATTCATGCGATGGTAATTATGAAGATTAAATGATAGAATAAGAGAAAAGTTAGAGAATGGTGCTTGGTACAAAGTCAGTGCCAAAGAAATGTTAGTTGTTAGGGTTAGTTGCTTATAACTCATCCTTTGTCCTGGATTATTCACCACAAACTGGTTTTACTCTGGTAACTATTTGTCCTGATTAGTGCCTGATTCTGATTCTGTACCTTTTCGATAAAGACGTTCTGTGACTTCAAACAAAGTGATATATTTCTGCTCTAGGCAGCGCTTAGAGCGTTAAATCAATCTAAATATTTAACATTGAAAATAGTTAAAACATCAAAGAATTAAATTTTCGTGTCTGTCAAGTTTAGTCATTTAGTTCCGTTTCTTGTGGGACATAACTTGATATAGTAAAATACTGGAGCTGGAAAAACAAACCTACTGGCACATGACTAATCATAGCCTTAAAAACATTGATCTTTCAATTCTTTGTGCTTTTGAAAGTGTGTATTTGTAGCAAAATTCAAAACTACTTGTCCTATAGTCTCTGCCATGCTTTTAGGCCCTGCAGTCTGTCCTGAAAGCATTATGAAGTCCCTAGGAGGTGTGAGAAGCATCTAGTGAGGGTGAGAACAGGCTTTGGTGCCAAAATCTTACTGCTAAAGACCTGCTTTCTATTAGAAGTAGCTGCCAGGGTTTGGCCATGAACCCCTATTAACAAAATCATGGGCAGTGGTTCACCAGCATTGTTTTTTTCAAAAGCACTTTGGGTGGTATATGGGATGAATACGTGTTCCCACTAACGAATGATGGAATTCAGACAGAAGTAACTTGAATGCCTGGGGTGTTTTCCAAGCCATTGCCATTGCTAGAATGTGCCTGAGGTTTAGTTCCTTACACAGTCAGGAAATGCTTATGAAAGAGATAAGGGACTCGAGTAGTGTGAATACTTGATTAAGGTTGTTTTCCTTTTGCTCTTTGAGCCACTAGAAGCTACTTGTTCAATAAGGGCAAATTCAACTTTGAATATGAATCATTTAGAGAACACAGAATTGTATAAAATGTTACTAGCAAAGGAAAAACATAGCTAAATTGGATTTAGCTTTTCCCCATCTGAATCTTATTTAATATTTTTCTCAGGATAAAATCCTTCAGATTAGACGGCATGTTCTTGCCTGTGATCACTGCTCTTCCAGATGAACTCTGATTGAACACCCTTCAATGATAACAAAACATTACGTCGGATAAAGACCTTTTGTGCAGTGGGAACAAGCATGCTTTTGATTCTGTTATGTCGTCATTTCCTCACGAGATGTTTCCATTATTTAAAACTTCAGCAGTAACATCCCTCCCAGGAAAGTAGGTAGTTATGACGTGTTTGAAGGTCAGCCGTGTTTTCACCTGTTTCTTGGACAAAAATCTTTATTGCT